AGGCACACCCTTGAGATTTCTTGAGTACCCTTAAAGGTCTGGAGAAGGATTCCTGGTTCCCTGCTCCAACAGTTTGCATCAGACCCCAAAGGGCAGAGGATGCAGTCTGTCTGTCTGCCTGATTCTGTTAAGGCCATTGGGGGCACTACAGTTTTTCTGTGAGCCCTACTCAGCTCAAGCAGGGGAAGGGGAGTCTGATCAACTCTTGTTAATCAGAACCACCCTCAAGAGATGGGGTTAGAATATTTAAGCTTGATGTGCTTGCAAAATGAACGTGTGAGTAAATGGACTGGACAGCATAGGCAATAGGCTGCTCTGTCTGTGTACCAAGACTGAAAAGCATTGGCTCTGGTGGCTGACTGGATCCCCACCAGTGGTTCTGTGGGGATCAGCATATGGCATGATGCAGGCCTCACACCCTCCTTAGCCAAGTCATGCCTATGAGGGGCACTGCCAGTTGGGCATCTGAATGGTTTCTCTCTGAGGGATACCCACTCTTTGTCTGTTGCATCATTGTTCAAGGGTATACAACACATACTAGAAAGTCAAAGATGGTAATTAATTTGTTAAAATGCATAATCCCTGGCTGCAGGAAAAAGGGCTTGTATGGAGTTAAAAGTGAAAACAAACTGCTCCCTGTGTCACAAATCAAAAAGAAAAGAAAAAGAGACCCATTCTTCCTGAGAATTTGGCCTTGACACCCTTGTTGACTGCTGCATTTGCTGCAAGCACCTATCACTTCACTCCCTGCTCCTGAATCATCTGCTTCAGCCAATTGATCTGGTTCCAGCTAGCCATTGCCTTCATTTAGCCACAGAGCCCCTCACTGCAACTTCCATTGCTGTTAGATGTCACAAAAAGCACAAATGAGTATCAAGTCACACATCAGCCTGATGGGCCACTAATCACTTTGGGTAAGGTGTCCTTGCCATCACAATGCAGCCACATCACTTTGCATTTTGTAGTTCTCAATCCATGCACCCTTTGGACTGTTACCCAGTTGCCACAGGGTTTGGGAACTCTCACACTATTTTCAGGGAAGCTCTAATAACAGATTTGGCCAAGTTCCCATCACCTTCTCTCCAGGACAGCCTGTTTCTCTGTCCCTTCCAGCTCCTTCTAGGTTCCCCAAGAAAATAAAAAAAGAGGCTTTGAAACTGCAAAAAAGTGTATTGGCTGTCAAACTGCTAAAATGCATCTCTCTGGTCACAGTGATGCACAGGTAGTCACTAAAATGCATATGGTAAGAACCAATCAAAGACAGGCAAGTACTCTGCCTTTGTACGTCCTGCTTGCTTGTCTCATATAAGCCCTAGTCTGTTGGGGACCACAAATTCACAATGGCTAATTTTGTATACTTCCCTAAGGGATAAAATATAGATTTGGGGTTATCAGTACCACCCATCTGAGATTCTCCACTGACTCATTTTAGTTCTTTTTTTTTTTTTTTTTTTTTTTTTTTGTCTTTTTCATTTTTATCAGTACCGGGGATCGAACTCACGACCGCCTGCTTGCAAGGCAGGTGCTTATGCCACTGAGCTAAACCCCCAGCCCCTTACTGACTCATTTTAGCATGAAATCATCTACCTCATCTTGAGTCATCCCAGGATTACCTCCTGGACAAGATCCTTCTTAGTATGATCATCTATGCCCTCTTGAGGCATCCCAGAGTTACACTTGCCCATTGAATCATAAATCTCTGAGTCTTCTGCCAAATTGGAGTCTTTTGCTAGCCTAGCCTATCACTCAATACACCCAATAAACAGTAGCTTTTAGGAGTGTGAGGAGGAGGGCCCATTGGGAAACATTGATTTCCCAGCCATTCATGTATTACTAAACTCATCTCTATTGTTTATTTTTCTCACCATTCTTTAATACAAACAGTTGGGACTCAACAGGTCCCTAAAACTAAATCTCCAGCGATCAGCACCTGATATTCTAGGAATGAACCTGATCAATGCCTGTCAAAATTAATCTGCCTCCAAATTCTGGGTGTCATTTCAGAGTTTATGGTTGCCATAGCAGTTCCAGTCCCACTGGTCAAATTTCAGGTAATTTGAACATCAGCACCTGTCACAGCACCAAGAATAAAGACTGCAGTAGGTTGCCAGACATGAAAAAAAATCATAATTTTGGTGGGCCTATTAAAGTATAAACTAATAGCCATGTAAGTCCAGAGAAGCAACTACTAGAACTGCCATGGAAAGGTTGATCAGGCAAGGGTGTTTCTAGCATTTGTAAAATAAATATGTGAAGACAGAAGTGCATTATCATACAAGATTCTTTGGTATACTGCTGCTACCATCCTGCAGTAAAGCTATCAAGGCAAGAGATTTAATAATTTAGTCCATGGTTACATAACTGTCAAGGAAAAGTACCAGATACTCAATCCAGACTTCTTTGGAAGACAGTGGTCAGTATGGGGAGGTGGCCAGGTAAGGGTTGCACTCAGCGAATGCTGGGATATCATATGTCCTGGAAAATAAGTGGGCAGGGGTCTTGAGTTTAAAGCATTACAAGTTACCAGAGCTGATGGATGCATGTCTTTTGGATTTGTGTTGTTCTTTTGGTTATATGAGAAAGGGTCTCACTAATGTACCAGGAGTAATCAAACATGCAGTGGTACTTCCATTTTAAAATATTTAATACATGGACATTAATACCCATCAAAATACTCTCCTTTGCTTCAGACACTCGTTTCTTCATTCGTGCCACTTTCTGAAGCAGCTCTGCCAGTTCTCTGAGTGAATGCTGCTGCCGGGAGCCACCACATAGAAAGACACCTCATAGAAACAGGGCACTGGGGGCTGGGGATTTAGCTCAGTGGCATAAGCGCCTGCCTTGCAAGCAGGCAGTCGTAAGTTCGATCCCTGGTACCGGTAAAAAGGAAAAAGACAAAAAAAAAAATAAAAAGAAACAGGGCACTGTGTCCTTATCCACCTTAGTCTGCCCTGTGTGACTCCTGGCCCTTCCCAAAATTAAAATGACCATGAAACACAAATGGCTTGAATGAATTCAGGACATTGAGCATTGAGGTAGCCGTAATAGCACCACTAGACACTCAGGAAAGAGGACTCCAGAGCCGCTTCAGAAAGTAGCAAGAAGGATGGAACCATTGTGCTCAAAGCAAAGGGGATTATTTTGAAGGAAACTGATGAATGGCCATGAATCTCTGACTGTACATTTTTTTTTATTTAAACCACCTATTTTTCCATCACACAAGTCTAGGCTAGCCTTGAACTTATCTTGTAAACAAGGCTGACCTTGAAATTGGGATCCTCTTGCCTCAGCCTCCTAAATGCTGGGATTACAGCTACACACTGCCATACTCGGCTTGGGAGTGTGACTTTAAGGTAAATAAAAATCAGATATAGGTGGAAGACACCTTAGATCTAGGCATACTCACTCTGCTGTTATCAGTCAGTGTTGACATCTGCCCTCTGGAAATACAAGATGAGAGCACAGAAGAGGTAAGAAGATTGACTTGTAATCAGAGAGTCAAATGTACCAGGGTCCCTGAGGGGAAAAGAAGAGGTCTAGGGTAGAACTTAAGACATGTTTGAGGGGCTGGGGATTTAGCTCAGCTGCATAAGTGCCTGCCTTGCAAGCAAGCAGTCGTGAGTTCGATCCCCGGTACCAATAAAAAAGGAAAAAGACAAAAACAACAAAAAAAAAAAAACAAAAAAAAAAAACCCAAAAACAAAAAAAGACATGTTTGAAAAAGGAGCCAGGAAAAAACAGAATGGAGAGAGGGAGAAGGGGCCAGGTGTGTCCCTGTGAGCCAAAGCACAGTACTGCAGGGGCCACCACCCGGGAGCCCAGCTAGCCCTGTAACAGGCATCAGGGTGCCTGTTAATGCAGGGCTTCAACGGTTTGTTTTTAAAAATATCAGCTGGTGAATCTTTTTTCATTTCTTCGATGACTTCATACATTAGAATTAACATATTTTGGTTCTGAGCACATTCTCAAAGACTTTCAGAAGTTAAAAAAAAAACATGGAGAATGAGAAATCTGGCAAACGGTTGACGGTCAAAGCTGGGGCCTTTATGTGGGCTGCAAACATTCATAGAGTGTGAATTCTAGAGAGTGTTGGATGCGGGGCAGTTGTAGCTGTATGAGTCCTAACATAAACCAGTAACCTTTTCAAGGAAATATCTTTCAATGCACGTGGGAAATCTCGGTGACATTTTTCTTTCATTGACTGTGTATAGGATGAAGTGCAGGTGTGATACCTTTGTTGGTTAAACAGTTTATCATTGATGTCATTTGTGTGCGAATTACAGAGATTCTTGGTTCTTATCAAAGGTAAACTCCTGGAGTGTGCTAACATGGTGTCCCTCAAGTGTGGTCCCAAAGCCAGCAGCAGCCTCATTCCTTGAAAATCTATCTAAGTGGATTCTTGAGCCCCATCCCAAGCCTAGGGAGTCGGGAGTTCTAGGCATGGGAGCAGTCACTGGCATTTCGAGAGCCCTCAGGGGCTGTGATGTCTGATAAAACCTGAAAACCTGCTCCGTGAGGGATGGGAGGAGCCCTGGGTGTATGCTCCCTCTGCTAAAAATGGTGCTCTGAAGGCCCTGATCACACTTTTTCTACAGTTTAATAAACCTGAATTTGTTTTGTTTCGGCACCAGGAATGGAACTCAGCACTTTGCACTTGCCCGGTAGGCGCTATGCCACTGAGCTATATCCCTGGTCCTGTTAGCATGAATCCAATCCAGTAAATGTAGCTGATTTGGCCTCTGCATGAGGTCCCAACACCGAACAGTCCGTTAATGAAAATCATCCCGCTGTTGCTTATAAACATTTTAACTAACACTGGTTTCATTTTAGGAAAAATAAAAAAACAGTGGTAGTACTTTGTGTCATTAGAGTTAGGACTTTTTCTCCTGTCCTCAGAAGACAGAGTGAATAAAAGATAAACCGCTGTGCTCATTACCTGCTTATGCACATTATATATTTATGCGCACACGCAGAATAAAATGTTTTCTTCTGCGTCTCAGGTCCCAACTGCTTTGCAGAAACTGCTGTCATCCCGGCCGGCAGGGAAGTGAAGACTGACGAGTGCACCATCTGCCACTGCACCTACGAGGAGGGCACCTGGAGGATCGAGCGGCAGGCCATGTGCACCAGGCACGAGTGCCGGCAGATGTAGGCGCCCAGGGGGGCGCACGCTGGCTCTTCTGGGACGCTTTACCAATGGCGCATTCTGGCTGACTCTGGGAGATGTCACCCCAGAGGAGAAGTTTGATAAGGAATTGCTGGAGAATGGTTGGTACTTTTTCTTTTCTTGGTCGCTACCAGAGAAGGCAGTGGATGTGTTTCAAAACGTCAACCAGGACTCTGGGCATAAAAATCCCTCTCTAAATAAATGTGCTATTTTCACAGTAAGTACACTATTATATAATAAATGTATTTCTATAACCCCTCTATTAGAGAGCTTATATAAATGTTTTCTATAGATACAGATTAAAACTGCTGTGTTGTCACCCGTCCTCCCTGTGTATCTGCATATCTTTGACCCATCCCCGGGGACCCTGTCACGCAGGGTACTTCACCAGTTCGAGGATTGCATGCAGATGGGGGACTGGTTGCTACCCAACTCCTCCCCAAGTTCTGTTTGCATACAAACACTTCTCTCGCGTTTACCCTCGGAAGGTGCCGTCTAAATTCCATAGATAATTTCCTTCTTGTAACAATGTACTGCTTTTCTCACTACATGTTGGTTTGAGTGGCATCTGCCCTGGTTCACTGGCACACACTTTCTAAGTTCTTACAGAGCTCCTGTATTGTGGAGTGTCAACACATACACATTACATATTTCATTTGCATTTGTGTACCTTCTCTTCCAAGCATGATTGCCACTCCCTAAACTGAGGAATAGGTGGGCTGGGAAGTTTGCATTATTGTCCCATCAACCTGAAGCATGTCACAAAATAGGATGAAAGTCATTTGTTTCTCTGGAGGAATATTGAGGAAAACTGAATTCCCAAACACGTTTATGCCGGAAGTGTTAACTACAGTACAGCTCTCAGTTCGGCACGCTCACGTCACTGACTGAGGTGAAGCATCTGTCCTCCCTAACGTACCCAGGAAGATCCTAGTTGATAGTCCTGTCCCCCTCGCTGTGGGGAGCAGAATGTCACTGCGGTCTTCTGTCCAGCTGCAGCAAACCAAGCTGAAGACTGAGTGTATTGTGTGGCTTTCCTGTAGTCACGCATAATCCACCCCAGTTTCTTTTCTCCTCACTTGGACAGGAAATAAAAAAGGCCATGTAAACATGTATTTGAGAATAGTTCCACTGTTGGTGGGTCACATCAATAAAGAGACAGTGAAAGAGGTAATCAGGGTGTTAACAGATGTGAGGAGAAAAAGCACAATTATAATAACTATTTGAAATGCTTTTTCCCTTCCAGAATTTATTTCAAATTTATTCCCAAAGTTTGAGTTAACCACTTACTAGCTATGAAGTACTGTAGAGCACCTTTGGTCTCTGATATAACAGGATAAGGCAGTACAATATATTTCATTAGGAGCTAAAACTCAGAGCTATGAAATGAAAATAAGAAAGACTCCCTAAAAAAGTGTGCCTATTATACCAAAAAAACTCATTATATTAAAAAATTCAATCATTAAATGCTGACCAATACAGTATTCAAAAAATATTGATACCTCTGCCACTGTTAAGAAATTGAACCATTGTGGACCTTAGAAATGTAAAAACACAACTTGAAATCATCAGAACATTTACATAGGCACACATCAGATTTTTATTTTGCTTAAGGAAAATTATCTCTGGCCAAGTAACCCAACTTGTGTATAGGTTTCATTAAAATACTCAGGGAAATTAACTCATTTTTCTCAGGTGTGATTCCAGAACTAAGGTTTGGTACTAGAATTTAGCTGTGCCTCCATTAGTAGAAGACAGCTTTTCTTGGGGGATAGAAACTTCCATCTTGCCAAAACAGGCCCCCAGCCCTTGTGAGCCGAGCCATTGAGCCCGGCTCTCCAAACAAGTGGACTCTGCTTTCTCCCAGACACTGGGCAATTCTGGCTCAGTTTCTATGGCCCATCTGCCCATTTCCCTTGGTGATACAACTCCACCCAGGACGCTGCTGTAGCGCCCAGACCTTCAGTGCCATGGGAACTTGAGGTTGGTGTTTTGCTGCATGGAGAGTGAACATGGTAGCCTCTGGGGAGATGGACTGATTTTCGCCCTGTCTGAGTTGCTGCACTCATGCCCAGTGCACTCCCAGGAGCTGGAGCCCAGTGGCTGCTGCTGCACAAGCGTTATTCACTTCCTGTCCCATGTCACCCCCCCACCCCCGGGCCCTCTGCACACACAAACAGTGCAGGAGCCCTATGTGGGAGCATGCAGCACTCCACACACCTACTCAGCAGGAAACCGTCTGCGTGGTGGCTGGGAACGAGCTGTCCTTCCTGTAGATAATCCAGACTGCCACATCCATATAGCTTTTTAAGCAGACTTTTTATTTTCCTCTCTTCTGGTCTCAGAGACCTCTTTGAGAAAGTGCTCTGCTCAGTAAGCACAACACCTCAGTTAGTGCGTTTAAAAAAAGGACAGAATGAGTCCAGGTTATCTGATTCCAGCATTTCATGGCATCAACATGGTACCCAAGAAGCTTCACCATTCCAGTTCAGAAGTTTTTGGGAAGCCATAAATTTTTAAAATTTGAACAGGCTCTGTAATTACCTAGCAGTCGTTAAGTGATTTAGCTATGTATTTTTTTCAAAAAGGAAATTGTGCTCACAATATTACATGATTTCAAACCTATATTTACAACTGCAAATATTTAGTCACTTGGGTAAGCCAAAGGATTTTTCTAGAAATGATCTAACAAGTTTTCCACATAGACCCATTCTTTCACTCCTAGGATATCTCTTCACTGGGCGGGCACTTCAGCAGTCTCACTTGCATTTTACAGACGTCGTAGGTAATTTCAGAAATGTGTGTCTCATTCTTGTGGGCTGCAAACATTAGCTGCAATACAGCCCAGGCCTGGAACCCTAGAGACCAGGGAGTTTATGTACCTTGAGGCCAACTTAGACTTCATGATGTGACTCTCATTATTTCAGGATTTATGTCATCTGCTTTGCATAATACAGCATGCTAAGAGATGAGCGCAGACATGTTAGTGTGTGCAGCATGGTGGCTGGAGTCTAAGTAACCCTCACTTCCCTGATATAAATGTGTACTGCATTGGCACAATGTTTTTGTTTTTGTTTTGTTTTTGTCTTTTTGAGACAAGGTCTCGCTATACAGTTCAGGCTGGCCTTGAGCTCACTTTGTAGCCCAGGCTGGTCTCGAACTCGAAACAATCCTCCCACCTCAGCCTCCCAAGTGCTGGGATTACAGGCGTGAGTCACCATGCCCAGCTAACACAATGTTTGAAAAGGCTTTAAAATTTCAAAATGTAGATGTCTTCTACTTTTTGTTTCAGTTTTAAGTAATGAAATGAAAAGATTATATGGATGCATTAGTTGAGACATACAAGATACACACTATTTCTAACAAGAATTTTTGGAAACCACATCCATTTTTTTTTTTTTTGTCTTTTTCCTTTTTATTGGTATCAGGGATCGAACTCATGACTGCCTGCTTGCAAGGCAGGAGCTTATAGCTTATGCCGCTGAGCTAAATCTCCAGCCCCCACATCCATTATTTTAAACTACACATATTCAGAAAACAGCTAGAGGCCTACAGCATGACTTAACCAATGACAACTTACAAATTTGTTCCGTACACAAGAGATCAAGTGTATTTTTAAAAATGGGAATTTGTTTTTTTCTTCAATACAGTGTAACATGAAAAGTACCCTAGAGGTATCCAGAGTGCCCTCCTGGGTGCTGGGTGACTTCAGATGTGCAGATAACCACACTGGACAGAATATCCGCCCTCCTCAGCTGATGTAACTGTAACTATCTGGGTCTAAACACCCATCCTCTTCTCCCCCAGTACTACCTGGGGATGGCTAACATAGTAACCTTCCTAAAGAACTGGATTTGGAAAAAGCAATCCCTTATTCTGGAATAAATGCAGTTTTCCAGCATATTCTTTTACATTCCAGTTGCTACTTCCAAAACTCAGTGTCTTGATCCAGCTGGAGATGAAATGGCCTACTTAACACCACCTCCTCATGAAAAGGCCACTATTTCAGTCTCCTACACACAGATCTTAGCCTCACTGTCACCCGAATTCTTTGAGGCTCCCAGTCACACACAGTATTGCACCCAAACTCATCAGCATGATAGACTGATCTCTTCAATATGAGGCTGGTTAGCAGTATTACTAAATAGGACCCAGTCCTCTGCCAGAGTCACATGCAGGCTGTGAATTCAGAGGCACTTCCTATCTTGAGGACCAATGTACAGAAGGAAGAGCAGCTAGCAGCCCTCACTTTCACTTGCCTGCCCTCTTTTTCTGGTTTCTGGTTTACCTTGCAAGGCTCAAGTATCCAGGGCACAGCCACAGAACAAACACTGCACAGTCACAGTAGCTTCAGATGAACTATGGTAGCTGTTGGGCATTTCTAATGCAAGGAAGGGGAAAAAAACAGTGCTTCTAGTGTAAATGTCCTGATGCTGAAGAGAATGTCTTACAGTGAAGAGAGACTGGCACATATTAACCGTAAAAGAAGTCTGGTTCACAGTTCAGTATTTATTGCTTGCTTCCAATTTCTGGAATGCAAGTTTCTAATCTTAGACTTTGTGATCTCAAGTATTTCTGCACATTTTATTATTTCTGTATATCATAATTAACACCTTAGGAGGTGGCTAGAGAATTGATAAACCAGTGAGCTCAGTACTCTGGCAAAAGTGCATTAGTATTGCTGGAAAAGTATTCAGACGTGACATTATCACAGTGTTTGGTTTCATTCTGAATTTGGCAAAGTGCCTGTTGCTTTAGATTCAGCAAACATCACACACACACACACACACACACACACGACGTAGAAAGAAACTAAGTCCAAATGCTTAAGTTTTAAGTGAATAAATGCTGATTATTCACACCAACAAGCTGAAAGCGTTGACTTAGAATGTCAGTAATGTGAAAGTCTCAGGTCCAAATGCTCATCCCATAGGGAATTCAGGACCCAAATAATCCACACTGCCTCATTCTTGTTACAGTCAGAAAAGTACAGAAGACCCACGGCTGTCCCACTGCACAGACGCACAGCAAAAGCTAAGAACAGAGCCAATGGCAGCACATTCTGATGCAGCCCGATGGTTTAAAGAATCATAAACATTCCCCCCTAATCACTCTCAGAGAGAAAAAGTACTACCCAGTTTTATCTAATGTGTAATAATATTTTACTCAAAATTTAAGGATGAATATTTCCTACTTTTTTAAAGCCCTGGAATTTAAATCCTAAGGAGAACTGTATCCAGATACATTTAAGAGAATTTTCATTTTTCTCATTCTCTTTACTATATTGACCTTAAAACTCAAATTCTATTTTATTTCTACTTGAAT